TAGCGTAAGTCTTAACTCGTCTTAGGTTCCGAGGTTGTCGTCCAGAACGACGTAAAACCTCTTACCTCTGCGGGCTATTTACATAACCAATTATTATGCAAATGTAAGTCCCAAATAATAAAATTGACAGGATTTAACATTCAAATAAAATCCTCTCTAAAGCACAGCCACATAGCAGGATAATTTGGGAGGTCACTGAGGATTCCCCTCAGAATGTGTGACATCCCCTACTTTTTACTTTCTTTGGACTCCTGAAAGGAATGTTCTTACTTGAGCCATTCCCACTTATTTTTCCACGTCCTACCTTGAAAACCTAAACTTTGAATTCTTGAAGACTAGAACCACTGATCATTATCGAGAGTTTTCTCAAGTAATTCCCTTCACTTGAGATGTAATTAACTATAGGGGCTTGCCTCTATAGAGAACTTGAAACCCATGTAAAATAAACTCTATTTAATCTTTGTATCTTTGTATTAAACTTTTCTCTTGGAATGTGTAGTATTCAGGATGTCAGACACGATTATGCAAATTATTGGACTAATGAGGTTCATTCGGTCTCATTTTCTAAAAAATTAAAACATTACTTTTATAATCTAAACCTTTTACCTTATATATATTTAAATTAAATTTTTCACATCGAAAAAGTTGACCGACAATCGAACACCCTTGTTTGTGTTTCTTTAAGAAGCTCCATCAAAGTACAACTCCCAACATTGAACCTTGGGTTCTTCCAGTTCATGATTGTTGAGAGGAGACTACGGATAACGGGTGCGCCGCTAGGAAAACAACTAAGATTTTCCCTTTCATGGCACGAAAAGGCTAAAAAATTATATCAAATTAAAATAGTATTATCGACCACCTTGCCAACCTACCAGAAAGTGCGGTCGTGTAATCAAATATTGCTATGGATTAAACATTGAAAAAAGTTTGAACCTATAAGAAAACATATAATGTCTGAGCTTTTGAGCTATAAAAATTTAAGCTAGACAATATTTCTCAATAGGAAGATACTTTTCCTCTGCGGAAATTAGACGACGACTTAAACAGTATAACATATTTTCCTTACCATACTTTATTCATTGAACCGAGCTAACAGAGCTATGAGGGAATCCTCTAAAGTCGCGGTATACAATATCAATGGTCAACCCAAGGCCGGGGCTACTAAAATAGGTATCATCAAACATTGTTTTATTTTCAAAAGCATGTTGACATTTATCATCCCAAGTAAATTCAACATTTATCGTGGTCAATACATTAAAGCTGACACCTACCTGACTGGTTAGATATAAAACGCCTTAGATATGCTAGCTTCCCATAAAAAATCGTAACTACATTAAGCCTTTAACCGACTTCTGAGGATCACTCTCAATTTCATGGTGTCAAACAACAAATCCTAAAAGCTTCTCGGAAGTGACACCAAAAACTCACTTTAGGGGATTCATTTCAAGATTAAATTGTTATAATCGTTTGAAGATAATTCTCAAAGTATACAGATGATATTCCTTTTATTTTCTATTGATGACTAACTCATCCACATGACATCCGACCTGATTGTGGATGAGTTCATCGAAGATCATTGTCATTGCCGACTGGTAGGTCGCATTAACATTTTTTAATCCAAAAGACATTACTGTGTAGCAATAAATCCTGATTGGTGTTTTGAAAGCCCTGAAGTTCTCATCTTCTAGAGCCATTTTGATTTGGTTGCATCTCGACGATCCGTCCATGAAAGAAAACATCGTATGATACGATGCAATATCTATCATCAATTCCGGAATCGACTGCGAAAATTCATCCTATGAGATCTCTGAAGCTGACATAGACCCAGAGCTGACCATTCTTCTTTTTAACTGGCACTACACATGCTAACCACGTCGGATGCTATTCTTCACAAATAAAACCGACGACTATTAGTTTCTTCACTTCAACTATAAGTTGCTGTTCGATCTCTAGATGTATTCTCCTCGGAGCTTGTTTGACTAGAGTTGCATTTTGATATAATTCAAATTGATGCACGACAACTTCCAGAGCTAGTCCAGGCAACTCATCATAAATCTAGGCTAAACAATCCTTGTACTATGACAGTAGCTTGATCATGTTTGCGTATTCTTCTTCGTCGAGTAGAGAACTGATGAAGGTTGGCCTCAAAGTCTTTTCAATTCCTAGGATGATCTCTTTCAATTCAACGATCATTGATTTGATCCCTTCAAATTATGACAGAGAATATTTAATTAGAGGATTTTTAGAACTCTCCAATTCTTCTGCGCAATCTTCATTCTATCGGGAAAAAAAACAAAATTTCATATCAACAACCTACCTAACTGTTCTGAAACCTACACCATTTAAATTAAAAACATGATCTTTTTTTTTCCAAAGTTTTTTGAAAAGTTGAGATTCATCTTTCAACCATTGCTTAGGCATAATTCCACCATGAATAAGTTTTTGAGCACACAGAGATACCATTCAATAGACAATTCCATTAATTCAGAAGTGTCTTCTCATAGTTTTACATTAATTTTAGAGCTAGAAGAAGAAGAACCACAATAAAACTTGATCGGACTTTGCGCCAACACCGTGTACTTTCTTGATCTCCAAATGCTCAATTTTGATTGAAGAAATTGCAGTTAGTGTCATGGCTTGCACATAGTGATTGCTCTTATTGTACATCAACTTGTATTCATTTTTGTGTTCATCTTCGAAGAAAATCTCGAACTGAGACTTCTTTTGATTTATTATCATGATGCTTTTCTTACTTAGAACTATCTTCCAAGTCAATACTGATAATTGGTGTTTTCTTCTTCTCAACAATTTTATTGCCTCTTCCTCGTCGTCGTCCCCATCCTCCACCTTGGGTTCGAGTATTAAAAGTCTTTATCTTGTCACTTTCCTTATTTTGAATTTTCTGGATTCTCTTCTTTATTGGGCAGTGCATTTCTGGAGAAGGCTGTCTTGTTAAGAGTAGCATGATAAGCAATATCTTCCTGAATCCTCACTTCATGAATATAAAATAGTTGTAAGTCTCCTTTTGTGTAGTACTTTTGTCCTTCATAATAATATTTAATGCACTCTTACAGAGACGAGGGAACCATTCTATGCTCATGTATCCAAGGTCGACCAAGAAGGATATTGAATGTCTCAGAATCGATGATATAAAATTTTACAGTTGTTACTAAGTCAGCGATTTTTAAAAGCAACGTGATCAACCCAAGTGCTATTTCTCCTTTATGGTTGAAGCCTCATAGCATCATCTTGTCCGCTGTTAATCTACAAGCATTAATATTCAAGTACACCAACGTCCTTAAGTTCATTATATTGATGAAGGCGCCGAGATCCGCAATTACTCTTGAGAGCATAAATTTTTTGATGTTTAATGCAATATATATTAAACGGTTGTTACCTTTGACTATTTCTTCAACAAACAAACCTCATCCGAGGAAGTACTAACGAGCTAAGCCAAATAGGTTACATGATCTAGTAAAGCTTTGAATAATGCTTCCTTCATTTCCTTTGATAGAATCTGAGCATCGTAAATGCTCAACTTAGTTGGTAGTTTCCTAAAATGGGCTATAACGTTGTAGTCCACTTTATTATTTGATTCTCTCTCGAACAGATGCTTCCTGTACGGGTGAAATTGGCTCCTTTTATATAATCACTTGTTTTGATTTGTCATTTGGAGCTATTCTTGGAGGTAACACTTTTCGATTTTTTAAGTTCACTTCCTTTATTTCCTCCAATTCTTATACTAAATCCGAAGATATTTCCTCTTGAGTTGTAGCAATTGGCTCTTTTGCAAGTGCTTCTGAATCTGAGAATTCCAACTCAATACCAATTGACGTCCCCTGAAATTTGGAGACAGACACGCCATTATCTAAGTTATTCTAGTTGTTATTGTCGTTTCTTCTTTGTTGTCCTTGGGCCTATCATGATTTTATATGATTTAAGAACTGTCGTTATAATTGAAATTAGAATTCGAGTTGAATTGGTTGTTATCAGGTGCGTCGTCACAAACAACAGACAAAATGTTGCCGAAATCATAGAAATCATACAAAGTCAAGGTATACAAGGATTTCTCTCCCAAATCCGCGACAACTAATCTAGGTGAAGCATCCCCTACTCTACGCTTTAAGCCTCCAGTTTTCTTCTTCTCCATGATCTTCATCATCTTCGGCTGGGGTATAGCTTCTGCCACCTCAATAGATAATGCTAGCTTTACAGGTTTATATTCTGAATTACAAGTTCTATATTCTGAATTGAAGCTTGTACCGAAGCAGCCTGAACCTTTAAAGATTTTCTTTAAGGATTTCGCCCAAACCCATCAACGGCTCCATAAGGATTGATCAAAACAATGGTATCGACTGAAATCATACTAACGGAACATTTTTTAAGTTCTCCTAAATATTCTTTTGGGATTATTATGTTCCTTCACTTAAAGTTTTGCTCGAGTCAGTCTTTAAAACTGAAGCAGTCCTCTATAGTGTGACTGATCATTCTGTGATACAGAAGGTACTTCGGGTGGTATTTCCTGCCAACATTTGTACTGATGATTTTGCACCTAAGCAGTCTTCTATACTGTGACTGATCTACAATTAAAAGAGAATTTGGTGCCATGCAAATGCTACTTAGTCTAGAGCAAAACAATACTACATCCCGTGCCCAACTATGTACCTGAGATTGGTATGGAGGCTATCCTGACAATCATCTCTGAATATCCCGTCCTTACATCTAAGGTTGATTGTAAAGTTGCCTCAAAGATGCGACTTTTAATAATTTTTTAGCAGAAAAAAATAGCTAAACTGATTCCCGCCTGATGTCACTAGGAGAATAATTATTTTTATGAATGGCTGACCTCGAGAAATTTAAAATTAATGCGAAATCATTAACTAAAAACAGTATTATTGATTCAAAACTGAATGATGAAAAAAGATGAGCAAATTAGAACGAAGCTGTAAATCCAATGCAAGCCCATAAACTGCAACATAACAAGAACACTCAAGACATACCTTTAAGAAAGAATTAGCTTCTTTAGTTGCATTCACAAGGCCCATAATGAAGGAAATAACCATCAGAATAAGCCCACTAAGAAAGTGAAACAGTAAAATTATATTCTGCAATTCAGAGAAAGAAAACTTAAATATTAAAATCACCAAAAAAATTACAGAAATATTTGAATAACATGCTAGAAATTATCTACCTGTGCAATTGAATGATCAGTAAAGAAAAATGTGAGGCAATAAGTCAAAGCAGCAACTGCAGCACCATATTCCAAAAAGATGAAAATTGTTGGCATCAAACTACCACATCCAATGAATTGATTCAGGCCTACAAATGAAGCAAATATCATGTAAATAATGTATGACTTCGATACGGGCCGTAGGACTACTTATTAGCACGAGTATGCCAGTATAAAAGGCATACACGCGCATGCTTACATGTCTCTTCATGTATGGATGCATGTACACGAGGGGAATTAGCTAGGGAGGTTCACGTGTTGACCAACATAATATGAAGAAGCTATCAAATCAAATGCCTTTTATAAGCACACATATTAAGAATCTAGACAAGGGCCACTTTCTTCCTCCATTTACTGCTTACTAGAGCGGCTCTAAAACCTTAATAAAGGGTAAAGTATCCACTGAAAATCTAGGCATTGGCAAGAGGTTCGCCTGCATCTAATCCCATATTATTTGTCACTGAGGGTGACAGTTGAGAGAGTTGTGACCCTGCACAACAATGTTGGGTGAGCAACCACTTATTGACATCTAGATCACACATTGCTCAATGGTCAAATATGAAAATTATTAAAATTACTTACTAAGCTGATTACTGTGCAGTTATTATTAGCTTTTAATTGCTTACTTTATTCTTCATTTTCGTATTTATGAATTTCCTAGTTGTTCTATTTCAGAATTTATGTTCCTTTTATTTGGGTTTTGAAATATGTATTTATAGCCCTTTTCCTATCAAAAAATGAATCCTGAATTATTCTAAAATTTAACATGGCATCATTGCATGCCATGGTTTGAACCGTAGAGGTTCTGCCCTAGCCAACGTTTTGTTTATGCAGGTTTTCTGTAGCCAGTCTGATTGGCGACTGACCCTAAAAATTTTTAGCGGAGCTTTCTCTCTCTAGAGAACTTTTCAGCAGGGCTTTCTCTTTCCAGTGGAAATCCCAATTGAAAATTCCTTCTGCCGCTAACAGTTTTTTTTTCTTTTTTGCGGTTTGTTCTAATGGATCTCAAACCTTCGGGTATGTGGAATTTTCCAAGGTTCAACCACTGATTCGTCCTGTTTTCCTCCTGTCGCCAGCCCTTCCTCCTGCAAAGGGAATCCTTCTGTGTCTCGGCAACCCAACATCACCTTTCTCTCCGTCGGAATCATGGGACTCCACCACCGAGTTTCCTACTGATGGTGTGCTTGAGTCCACCAGAGGATCGACACCGACCTCAATTCCTCCGTAGAAAATCACATGAACTTCCCAATCACCACCAATAAACCTAATGGTTCTAATTTTCTCCAATGGTCCAAATCCATGTCCTTGTTCGTCAAATCCATGTCCTTGTTCCAAGAGGGACAAAAATTTAATTATCTCATAGGTATGATTCGTGAACCTAAAAAAACGGACCCAACGCATGGAGCGTGAAAAGTGAAGAATTCTATGGTCATGTCGTGGCTGATTAACTCCATGGAAACTACAATTGGTCGTGCGCATATGTTTCTTCGGCCAATGCCGTATGAACTGTAGTTCGGGATACCTAATCAGATGTGGGGAACTCCAGCCAACCTTATGAGGTTTCAAGAAGATTTGCGAGGCGAAACAAAAGTCGAGAACCATGACCCAAAAATACAATGATTTGGTGGCCTAATGGATGGAATGCAATCTCTACCATGACTATAAGTGAGACTCTTTGTCAGACCTTTTTCTCTTTAAAAAAGTTGTAGAAAAGGCTCGCATGTTCCAATTTCTGGCGGGTTTAACAAAGACCATAATGAAGTCTGGGGCCATATTCTTGGCCGGGATCACCTGCCTTTTGTTCACGTTGCATTCACAGAGATTCGAGGCAAAGAGAGCCAGAGATTTGTTATGCTCGACACTTCCACTTTAATCAAATCATCTGCTTTGGTCACTAATAGTACTCAACACTCATCTAGGCCATCTCGAGCCACTGGCTCCACTTGCGACTACCATCAAAAACTCAACTATACTTGTGAGAAGTGTTGGAAACTCCAAGATAAACCTACATACAAACCTTCAGCCAAATTCTCCTCTGTCAAGGGGTCTCACTACGACATCTGAATCTATTACGACACAACCAACTCCCACTCGGAACGCTTTAGAATCACCAGACTCTCTCAAGAGTCAGATGGAGTAAGTAACCAAGCTGCTTGAATCCAATCAACTCTCTTCCAGCCCATCTACCTCTCACGTCCGTCAAGGTACCATTCTTATGACGCTCACTCTTTTTGTCTCTTCTAGTCCATGGATCATTGATTATAAGTCAAGATCAATACTCTTATATTTAATTTTGTCACCACCCGACCCTTACGTGGAATTAACCAAGACAAGAACAGATATTCAGACAGTGTGAAATAAATTTTCTATATTCATTTACTATTAACAGATGAAATAATCATTAAAAATTAAAATAAAGCGATGGAATTAAAATTTACCTCCTTGATGGTTCCCTGTATCTTTTTTAAATGTTTTCTCGTCTATCACTCATTTTTAATAATTTAATTAAACCTAAAAAGTTAGTTAAAAAAACAGTTAGTTGAACTAACCAAGTGAATAATTATACTTCAATACTACAGTAATATAAAGAAAAAAAATATGCATGCCAGTTAAGTTTCTTTATAAATTGATATAAACATTTAATATGCTATTCAAATAAGTGTCTGTTTGGGGCAGCTTATTTGGTGCGGTGGAGTTTTGAAAACGCAGCTGACCTGTTTGGGTATATTACGTTTTGACAGCTTATGCGTTTTCAAAACGTTGAAAAAAACGTTTTCATACCGTACCTGTCTAGGTGCGGTGACAGCTTTCTGGCTGCGACTTGACTTTTTCAAAAAAATAAAAATTTGTAGTAACCACCACACCTAGCTTATCGACAGATTATTTTTTAATCAGCTTATAAGCAGATTATTCAATAAGCTGCAGCTGCCTCAAACAAACCCTAAGTCTATATCAATATCATTTAATATCTATACAATCGTCACAGAAAACACCATTTAAAAATTATACCACTTCAGGTACATTAGTGTGCACCCAATAACCTTCAATATCAAAATTATTTTTCATTCACATGCATAGATACATTAGTGTTCCCCCACTAGTATCATCAATGTGTGCTCTATCATAGCCAAGTATGCACATGCAAACAACTATAAATCCTTTTGTTTACATTTTAAATATTATCCAATATCTTTCTGTAATAACATGCATGCATAATAACTTAGTATATGCAAATCATTCATATTTATTTCTAGATAACCAAATTGAATAAAAAGGCAGAATAATCTTATTCTAGTTGCAGAACGAGATATTCTGACTAATGATATTCTAATGCGAGTGATTTAAAAGAAATATAATATTATTATTATTTAGAAGTAAAAGTACTCACATTGATGACGTTTAATTCCACAAAATTTAGCCCTGACGTCGACTCTTCTAAAGTTAAAACCTAACATAAACATGATATAAAAATTTAATTTATTATTATTTTAAGTAAACTATTAACTTTTCATTATTAAAGTATTAAATTTTCATTATTTTATTATGTTTATTTTTTTATTCAATAAATATAATTTTATATATAAATATATTATTATTATTATTACCATCACTTAAATAAAAACTATTCTTATTTCTTCCAAACCCTTGGCCCGGTTTGACTCGTACGCTCCGCCCCTTCTATTTCTTCTTGTTCAACTCGATCACACAGGATCAAATCATTGTGCATGAAGAATCATCTCCCGCACACTACTCTTCTTCGACGCTCAACTAGGGCACGATCGAGGCTCCTTCATCTTCCTCCTCGACTCGATACCAAAAGCAAAATCTCGCGCCTCTCCTCAACTCGGCATCAATTCCCTTGATTCCACATGTGAGTAAAACACCATGGGCACTTCGTTTTATAGGCAAACTTGTCTCTTTAGCTTCTAATCCCCTAGCTTTCACTCCAGTTATTTGTTTCCTCACCCTTTCCCGATTCATGATTTCCTCTTTCATCTCTATTCATTTCTTCTTCTCTGTTCCTTCATTTTCCCTGTACTTCTTCCCCCGTACAGAACCGTTACAATCTTCCCCACTAACAAAAATTTTATCCTCAAAATTTATAAACAAACCTCAAGTCATTTCTCATTAAACGGATTAACATTAGTAATGAAAATGTAATCACTATAAAGGTAAATATTTGATACATGACGACTCAACTATACTTTAGAAAACATAGTTGTTGGGGCACAAAAACATACTAGATAACATCAAACTAGTCGGATTTCATCACCATCAACAACAGTAGGTTTTTCAGGTTCACTATGAGTGAGGGAAAATACTTGAGCTCAAACAGTCTGTTGTTGATGGTGATGTTTACTCATAGTCAACGAAGACAACCTGTTTGAGCTCATAGTCAACGAAGACAACCTGTTTGAGCTCACCCTCGACCCAGCTTGACCTGCATGCCCCGCCCTTCCCTTTTTTCTTCGACTCGATCACATAAGATCGAATCAAAGTGCGTGAAGTATTTTCTCCCACACACTAATCTTCATCTTCGATGCTCAACTAGGGCACAATCCAGGCTTTTTCTTCGTCTTCCTCCTCGACTCGCTCGAGACCACATGCAAGATCTCCCGCCTCTCCTCAGCTCGACATCACTTCCCTCAATTCTACAGGTGAGTGAAACACCTTAGACGCTTTGTTTTATAGGAGAACTTGTCTCTTTAACTTATGATCGCCTCGCTTCCACTCCTTCAACTGTTCTTTTCCTCTCTTCTCCGATTCATCGTTTCCTCTTCCATCTCCGTTTGTTTCTTCTTCTCTCTTCATTCGTTTTCCCTGTTTCTTCTCCCCCCTATAGAACCGTTACAAATTTAAAGTAAAATTGATTATATGGAAATCAAACTTTTTCCACATAAAATTATAAAGGAGCAAACCCACATGTAGATTATTGTTAGCACACCATCGGCATGCAACCTTATGATTATAATTTATTTCAGCCACACTTATCACTGACATCGTTCTAGGGTTCCTAGAAGGTGTTTGAGAAGCGAATTCAACAAGGAGCTCATTGCGGAATGGCAAGAGAATAAGAACATGAGAGGTCGATGGCATTTAAAAGGTAGCAGGCGATGTTAGCGACTACAATCTATTGTTGGACAGTCGTATCGAGCATTTCGATGATGAAATGACGAGGAGTATCCATCACTTTTTTCTGAGCAAGCTACAAACACACCATTTGCAAAAGGAAGAGGATACAACACTCCTTAAAGCATAAACAATATATTATAGTCTTAACAATACATAAAATCCAAGCTAGCTTTCCCAAACAAAAAAATACAACATATATAGTCTACTCATAGAAAATTCCCTATTTAGGAGGCAATACAAATAAATGAGAAAATGAAAAAAATAATTTATGCAAAATTGTTAACTGCACAAAATCCTAGCCCGTCCTCCTATTGCAGGATAGCAGAAGATCCCGCTCTACATCACTTTCCCTAATACATCTCTGAAGGCTTATGAAATTAATCTACCACAATAATAACAACTACATTGCCTTATTGTATCCAAGGCAACTCCACTACAAAATCTATGCTCACATCAATTTCATTCAACCTTAAAACACATTCATCATTCCAAAACATATCTTGAAAGGATAACTAATCATCCCTTTTTGGCAGAACCAGAGCTAGAACTGCACATAGATTGGTACACTCACAAACCAAGCATCAAGCCATTAAATCCATTACCTATTTTTCACACTCAAACTCGACTGAGCAAATCCAATAAATAAGTTTATCTGGACAAACTGAGTTTGGGATGAAATCTATGGTATGTTGGACTAGTTTCAGAGACAACCTTTCCTTTCTGACTTTGTTCAAACAAGTTCTATTTCATCATACAGATAGAAAAAAGAATATTGTTGCTCATACTCGTGCACAAAAAATCATACATGATAGTTTTGTTGTTAGGAATGTTGATAGATCACATTTCTTGTTTCCTTTTGTTAATTTTGATAGTGCTCATGTTTTGGCGGGCCAAGCCCCTTTTTGTATCATTTGTACTACCTTTATGATATATTAATTGAAACACAACTTTAAAGTCATTGCCGACTCCTTTTTCCTTATTTAGCCACGACAGAGAATATGAGTGAAAGTGCCTCAAGTCACGAGACCCAATTTCTTCACAATATGTGTCGACAACAAGTTCTTACTCCACCCCATCGATGATGAGACTACTGCCTTCCCGTTCACAATGCAATGGGTGTAGAATATATTGTGATATAACCATTACGAATCCCTCATATCCTCTATGTATAGGACCAGTCGAACCACTGCGTCTCCCCACTCCGTTCCTCCACTCTCCTCGTCGCTAACCTTCGCGCCCTGCTCGGTAAAAGACACAACTCGACTCATCAAGCAGCTGGAGGCGATGTGCCCAAATCCGTTGCATCAGAAACATTTTCTGGTCGGGAGTGTAATAGATGTGCTGCTCTTTTCAGGCTTCTTCTCACTGGGTGTGGCTCTATCCTCATCGAAATAAACTTTTTCAACTCCCTAAGATTTGCTCCTGTTGATGTCTCCAACTGTGGGTGGCTTCCTGACTGGTAATGATTGTCTGCTTTGCTTTTGTAGCCATTCCACTTTTAATTTTAAGGTTTGGACATCCCAAAGTGAACAATAAGACTGTAGCTGGACCAAATTGTAAATAGCAGGCTTAGACCCCCCAGATAACGAACTATGGTGTCTTCCTCTGGCTAGACCAAATCACACTTCATCTGCAACTAGTCAAATTGTGCCATGAACTTCTCCACTTATAGGTCGCTCTGCTGCAGGTGGTAGGATCTCAGAAACATGTCATGACGGTAGTAGGATGGGAGGAATTTACTCTGAATCACTTTCTTCATCTCTCTCACTTAAAAATCTTATCACTGCATTTTTTTTCCCTACCCCTTCAAGTTGTCCCACCACAAAAAGACACTCTTTTGATAGCTGCAAGCTTCATTCTTTTATCTTCTAGCACTTCTTTGTGCCCAAACAACCTCTCAACTGATTGTAGTCATTCGATAAAATCATTTGGACCCATACCTCTATCGAACTCTGATAGATCCACCTTTATTATGAAGTCTTTGTGTCCTCCAAATGATTTCTCCTCTCTAGGCCACCTCTGATATTGTATTCCAAAACTTCATGGCCTTTCTTTTTCATCACTAAAGACTCTTCGAAAAAATAAATAATGACAAAAAACACGAATGGGGGGCCACCGATGGACGGTAGGAGAGGCAGGCCGGCTAGGTGCAAGTAGGTGGATGGTTATAGCATGGAGAATTCGAAGGGGACTAGGTGCATCTGTTCAATAAGAGAGTGGTGGGGGGGGGGGGGGGGGGGGGGGAGGGAGGGAGAGAGAGAGTTGGAAAGTATCGTAAGGTTGCAACATTAGGTGGGAAAGGAATAGGCAAGTGGCAGAGGGAAACTGGTGCTGGGAGGCAGACGATAGAGAGTCGAGGGGTGTGGAAAGGATAGATGGCAACAAGGGGAGGTGCATGAAGTATGGTAGCGAGTGGGGGAAGTGCATTAAGAAGCAATAACAGGAAGATACACACCACCTCGGGACAAGTTACAACCCGAGTATCTTCTCACCGTTAAATACAACTCTAGAATGGAAAACGGGATGCTAGAGGCTACCCTACCAGAAACACAAGGAAAATTAAACCCTAACACAATAAAAAAAAAAAAAAAAACATATATATACTGGTAGATAAATATGGGGGACCGCCCCGCAACCACGCCCACACTTGGGCGGCAACCCTAGTCTCAAGCCAAAGACTGGCCAGCCGAGCTGAACTAGTTCAGTCGCCGGGTCAAGCCCCACGTTAGTGTCGCTTTATTTTGTGTCAACTGAATTATCTTCTTTCTATCTCCAAGCTATGCAGATGGATTCTCCCTCTATCGTCTGTTCTACTTTATTTCCTTAGCCTTTTCTGCTCTACCAATCCCCCCCAATCAGCTTTATTAGATATCAAAACATTTTTTGTCACCCCGCCTACGTCATCTTCTTAAAAGGGAGGTCCATCTCATATATGTGAGCAAATATTTATAGGAGCGTTGCCACTTAGAGTGAGTGAAACAGAGAGAGAGAGAGAGATAAAATGCACACCAAATATGAAAAATAGAAACAGTGCCAGTGAAACTGGAAGTAAGAAGCTGAAGAAGTCCCATGCAAATGTTGATATCCAATATGTCCATATAGATACCTGAGTAGATAAAAAAGTTCAGTAACCAAACAACGTATCAAACCATAAAGAGAGAAAAAAAGCCATATGAAGGTATAAAATACCCCACTAATCAGCTGCTGCTGTTTCGCTTTGACTTCACGCTCCTGCAACATTCCAGCAAGTTCCATACGTCAATACAAAAACTTCTTTCAAAAAACAATTTCCAAAAAGCCATGCCTAGTGTTGAAGAAAGAAACATAAAAACAGCTCTACAGTATTGTTCACTCTTTTGCCACAAATGGTAAGGATATCTGTAAGAATTACATGGATTCAAGCAAACGGTGGAAATTCCTTTTTGAGGATACTCCCCAAAAATGGATTCATTGGAGACGGGTTGTGCCATTCGAGCATTTCTTTAGGCTTTTAAAGGAAGCAGCCAATGGAAATTTTTTGCATGACAAATAGATTATCATACAAATACATCAGAAAAATTGAAGCTAGGCTGCTACATGAAACGTTATAGATTCTCAGTAATTATACTTTTAATCAAATAATACATCTCTTAAGAAACCATAAAACAACTTTTTTATGTTCTAATTCTAGACTAGCAGTTTCAGCTTAAAATCAAAACACAAGAGGCTTGCGTAAGATTTAGTTTTATCATAGCTAATTGTAAAGAGTTAGAAAAAGGTCAATTTACCAGACGTTACGAGTTTGACATCCAACCAAGCAGACTACCAAAGAAGTAGAAAGATTAACAAGACAAGATTAATTAACACACTCATTTGCTTGTAGAAACATTAGAAGGCAATATCTAATTAGGAACCTCGAAAGAACAATGCCATAAAAACCAAATATACAATGAATTTATGAAACAAATGTACTGTCGTATATTATCTGCACAATGATTTAAAAGTCAAAGATGTAAAATCTGTAAAAACTAACATACAATTTCATGTTATTGGACAACTTTGAGTTTGCGCTCTAACAAACATCAAACTTTTATATTACACCCAAACATTTTCAACTTGTAAGGCTTGAGTTCAAACAAACTTGAATAATTTTTTATTACGATTTGAAAAAAAGGTTCAAACATATTCAAAACACGGTCCAAATAAGGTTCAAACACGCTTGATTAATGTTCAACTATGGTTCGAAGAAGATTAAAAAATTGTTCGTACACATGTTCTAAAAGGTTCAGTACACTATCTTTGATATTTTATCTAGGTCATCGTAAAAGCTCTATCAAAATAACCAAATCTAAAAAGCAAGACATAACTATTTTAAGTAAATAATATTAATGTTTGCTGAAGTCATGATTGCCTTATTCCTTGAGCCAAAAAATCTCAAACGACATAATACCAATGTATAAAAAAGCGGAAGAGGTGGGAATGTAAAAAATTGTGGGTGTTTTGGTTTTACCTTTCGACCATATTATCCCACAAGATGAAACAATGGACATATTTCTCCAATATTCACAATTATGGGCACATAAAGTTAAAATTCTTCCAACGATTTCCAAGTATGCTTTCTCAAAGAAATAGAAATTGGGAAAAAGTATTTCTACAATTCTCTAAGGTTTCCAAGATTTCAAGCTAGAATCAACAATTCTTGCAATGACTATGGTACTCTAAACTTATGAGCTATTTAAATATGAAAGAAGTTCTGCTGCTTACCATTTGGATAAATATTGATCTTTCATAATGCAAGTTATCTTGATCCAATGTATTTTATTTCCTTGGTTTTTTGCAGGCAATTCTTTGTAACACTTTTTAATGTAATATTTTCACCAATTGATAGTGAAGTTTCAATGCATCAATAAATGGAATTGATCCAAAAATTAAGTATAAAAGCAAATATACTTATGTCAACCCTTTTAAATCAGTTTTGTGCTGACCCACATAAACTGATACTTCAATTGGCCATATGACCATCTACCACACTAGCTTCTTGGCCCCACCCACACTTCTATGTCAGTGGCATATCCTTCAGTTATTTATTTATTTATCAGCTATACTCCAATTTGATCTTATGGTTGCAGTCTCTATCACATACAAGCCCGCCTTCACAACCTCATTCTCACCAGCTAAAAAAATCATCATTTTGCTAAGCTTTACTGTTACAAAAAGCAACCCACATAACTACATCATCTTGGTCAAAATATTACATATTTAAACCATTTTCAATACAAAATGGATGTTTTCCCTTTAGTTTTACATTCAGCCGATGAAACAACTCTCCAATACTTCATAAAGAATTTTTTATCAAACTTTCTGTTGAGTAACTGCTTAAGTTTTTGTACAATCACCACCAATTCCCGTCATCCAAACTACCAAAATCAAAGAGAGATTTTATGATGGCTAGCAATGTGAAAGAATCAACACCTCAATTTCTACAATCACTTATAACCAAAAGCATACTAAGATAATTTGCTAGCACTATTGATGATACAACCCGACATGGGATTTGAAATTAACCAAGATGAGAAAAGACGGTTGGAGGGTGAAAACTAAAATTATTCTATAACTAACATTTTTATGAAAGAGTCACTAAAAAATGAATTAAAACAATACCGTTAAATTTTACCTTATTTCTGGTTGTCCGCGTCTTCCATAAACATTCTCTTCCATCGCACATCTTTTAATCAATTAATTAAACCTTACAAGTTAGGTTAAAACAACAGTAAGCTATACAAGGATATAGAATACTTATATTACTATATTATAGTAATTCAATGAAAATGAAGATAATATGCATGCCAAGTAAATGATATTAAAAATATAAGGGCATTTGGTGGTTTGTATGATCTAATATGATCAAAGTGATTTTAAACTTTCACTATATCTTACTATCTCATTCACATATCAGTATCTTTTTAATTTGCATGCATTTGTCACACGAGTATTGTCTAAAATTGTACTAGTTAAGGTACTTAAAAATCAATATACTTTTCCATTTACATACATAAATACTTTAAAGTTCTCCCACTAGTACCATAAAGAGGTGATTTCATCATAGTAAAACATGCACATGCAAGAATCAAAATAGTAAATCTCATTCTTATTTTTTTTTCATATCAATCAATAATCTAAATTATGCATTTAAATGACATGCCAATATCAATGAGATGCACTCAATATGATCAATTGAACTTAAAGAGCTAGTAAAATCTATCTAAGCAAGTCATATAGAGCGAATCAACTTAGGAGAAATCAAATATTATTATAAATTAAAAATATAAGCACTTATCTCGATCATAAATGATCTGGTTGCTCTTAACTTGTATCTATTCTTTCAAATGAACAGCCATAAAAATAAAATATTCAGCTATCACTTTGCTTAATTATATTTAATATTATTTATCAATTATTGTTGTATTGCACTATTTTAGTTAAGATTTCAATACTTAAACTTTAAGTTTAAATATTGAAAATTAATAATATTATTAAATATTATTAATTTATACAAAATACATTCAGAATTAAAACCCTAATTTTCCTTTATTGTCAACATTTTTCTCAATCTAAACCTGAATCTTTTACAACTTGAATCCTATTAAGTTAATTAAAAACTCTTAAACTTACCTTCATACATTTAATTTGTCTCTTCCCGCGTGTGAGGTTCCCTCAACCTGCAACACGCGAGCTCTCCAAACTTTCTTCCCTTCCCTTTTCTTCGATCTTGATGCGACCCGATAGAGTAGTGCACACAAGATCTTCCTTTCGATTAGGGTTCACCGTCCAAAAAATACCTCCTTCCTTCCTCGACTTCGACGGGTTCGGCATTAACACATTTCCCACACTCTCTTCCTCCGGATTGCTTCTTCCTCTATAAGAGCACAACGTCAAAGTCACCAAGAGTAGGGTTCAACGACTTCTCTGATCAAACGAAGTCCTACGCCCTCTTTACTCTTCGACATGGTTTCATTCCGCATCGCAAGCCCTTGAAGTTCCTTCCCTTCGACTAGGGTTCAATGTCGAAATAGGTAAGAGACTTACTACTCCTTTGTTTCATCTTCTTTCTTCTCCTTCCTTCCTTTCTTTTGTGCCCCCTCTTACTCACTTTTTCTCTTTCTTCTTCACTGTTCGTTAAGTGGGTTGAATAAGTAAAATAGTAGACGTTGCGACACCTATTTTATTTTTATTTTCCCAATATTATATTTACTTATTTATTTAAAATTCTTATTTATTACAATCTCCCCTTATAAAATTTTCTTTATTTGAAATTTACATAATATACTCTAAGCCTTAAATCATTGCATGAAACTCATAAACCCTCCATAAAAGTTCATTAAAAGGTTTATCTCATTCTTAAAGATGGATAGTGGATATAATAAAAGGTCTGATATGAGTAACCCAACTAAACTTCCCCCATCAACTGAAATAGGGAAATATGTCACCTGAAGCAAACCAATATAATAAGAACACCAAACATCCTATAACATGCGATAAAGCATAACACTTATCAATCCTTAGTAGCATCAACATCAACAACAAATTCTTCAGATTCTTTATTAGTAAGAGAATAAACTCAGGGTTGAACTAGCTGTCTTAATTAAACTTGAGCAGAAGCTGAAGCTGTAGACTCTATCCTTTACTGCCCACATGTAGTCTTCTGTTAAGGAGCTTTAACTGATTTCTATCCTTCTAATGTTTTTTGGCCAAGTGAAGAGCAATATCTAGATATGTTTCTAAGCTCACGACACCGGTAACATGTATGAGAGCCCATCAAACATTTACCTATATGTTGTTTTTAACATTTAACACAAGTGACTATGGTGTTACGAGAAGTGCCACCACTGAATCTATCAGAACGAAAATTGGGCTGATTGATCCATATGCTCTCCTTCATCAACACTATCCCATTGTGTCTCCTTATGCATTTGAATAAGCTAGAAATCAATCTCTACTAGTCTAGCCCATTCCACTAACACTGAATAGCCGTTGATCCCCAAGGGCACTAACGGGGTGCCTGATTGAATCATTTAATCCCGAAAGGAATCTATAACACTTCTCAGCTGCAATAACTATCAATTGTAGGGGATATCTTGACAATGCAGTGAACTCTGCTTCATACTGCATGATTATATTTTCTCCATGCATCAACTTGTTGAACTTGTCTTGCATTTATATTCAAAAGGAAAGGGGTACAAACCACTCTAAAA